ACCGTAGGAAGTAGTAACCTGTTCCTTTCCTACCTACTGCGATAGCTCTTGATAGAGCAACCGTGCAGGAAAACCTGAGGAGAACTGCAAACAAGAGCAGTCTTCCTTCACTTACAATTACGTGGAGATCAAACAAACTACTTCAGAAGAATAACCTTAATGAGATATAAAGGGCTGAAACTTGGCGATTGACAAAAAGGCTTCACGGAAAAATCCCAGGCGTTTGTAAACCAATGCATGTGCTGCATTGTTGGGGTCAAATGACCGGTTAATATCATCCCAAACAAACACCTCTATAGAACAGCACAGCAAGAGAAGATAAGAACTCCAATCGGAAGAGAAATATCAGTAGACATTATAGCCTGCGAGAAAAAAAAAGACGTTTTCCAGGGGAACCGAACCTGCATTCTCGTCCACACGCGTGCGAGGTTCCAGACAACAGCCTGATGGTGGGCTATGAAAATTGATTGGCCATTCTTTAAGACTGAGCAAACCGAGAGACGCCATAACCAAGCAAGCCCAGTTATGAAACTCGACTGAGGAACGGCGAGGGAGTCTAAAACTCTTATTGTAGGGAATGGCCAAAGGCCACAGTAGATAGGATCACAATGGAGTGATTAGGTGCGTGGAGCCCAGGAGCGATCTAGAAAATTAGAAAGGAACCTGCAGACACTCGATGCAGTGCAGCCAAGGAGATAGCAGTAAATGAAGCAAAACAGGTATAAGTAACTTGATCTGACATAAATGATATAGAACCACGAACTCCCTTGAACGTGATAGCCATAATCCGTATAGCGGGTATAGTGACCTTAACTTGAAACCACAAACTCTTCTCATTAAAGCTTGCTTTTATTCATACGAGTATCAGTAACACTCTGCCTTAAAGAAGTGTTTACCTATACTATTCGACAAGAATGTTTATGACCCAAGCCAGTGATGATTCTTAAGTCTCAGGAATATACTGAGTCAGGGCCATGAATCCACCCCAAAGCCCGATTAAGTTAACCCAGGATCATGAGCGAGGATTATGATTTCAGTTTTGTATTTTTCGATGAGGTTTCCTGTTTACATTTTTGAGCTTGAGTAATGTCAAACAACACAGGACATAAGAAGTGAAAAACATCTTTATGAAAGAAAAATTAATAATTCGGTTAACACGTAATCGTGGGTTAGTGTTAACCGGCTTTCGAACAATCCCGCCTGAAGCGATAAATAAATAAATAAATAAATAAATAAGTAAATAAGTAAATAAATAAACAAATAAAATAAATACATCATATGACTATATATGTATTGAACGCGTTTATTTTTGTCAGTCAATCAGTCTGACTGGTTTCCTAGCCTCTACAGGGCGATCTTCGAGTGTGTTCAAGTTAGATATTCACCCGATTTAATACAGATATTACAATTAGCTAGAAAAGCAAGCAAAATTGAGTTACTTTCGCTTACTTAAAAAATATAACTACTGAAAATTTGCTTGAAACCACAAAAAGGTTGCGATTTTTATGGTTTTTCGAACTCTCGTCACCTTCCCGTCTGCGGTTGTTAATCAGATCGAAGCTTCTCGTTCAATATTCAAAGAATTTCTCTCAGATTTGCTGTAGTTACTCTATAGCCCGGACGTTCTAGATTTATATTATATACACGTTTGTCATTCTTTTAGGCCCCTTTTTGATAACACAGGCACGAACAAAGAGCACTTTTTTCTGGTCATCTGTCCGCCATCGTGGCGCAAGTGGTGAAAGTTTGTATTGATCAGAATGGTTAATTTCTAAAAATCTTGTAATTATTTTTCCATCGCTTGTGACTAAACGTATTTCTCTTGGAAAAAAGTTGAACTGTTGAGCCAGATGTAATGAGGTAAACTAAAAATACAGGTTGATAGTGACAAAGAGGAATGCTAGTGAATGGTTCTGCTGATTCGATATATAACTGACTGAACTGAATTCATGTTCGATCATTGTCTTGGCTGCATGATTGGGTGAGAAATCATGTTGAAGTAGACGAAGTTACTTGTAAAGCGCTGTTGTATAAGAGAATTTTTAGCGACAAAAGATTCACAAAAAATGTAGTGCTGGAAATGGATTAGTACGTGTTGTACGTTTGCTGTTGATTACAAATAATTTTCTCACATCTATCGTCAATTGGCACGATTTGAAATAATTCTGTTCATTTGAATTCCTGTCTTTGATTAAAGGATTACTCAAGATGACATGATCACTTAAGGATACAGATAATTAATAGTTTAAGTTTTAAGGAAAGAATTCTTGTTGTAATTATTCAGCTCGTACCACATCGTATATTGCATTGTAGAACGATCCTGTATCGGTTTGTAGGTTATGCTTTTTAACTCTAGTCAAATGCATGCAGGTCTGTGCGGACAGCCGCCTCTCCAACTCTCAGAATTTTCATCACTGAATCAAGTCGATCTTTTTCCTTTACAAAACTGAAATATCCCTGCAGCTGTCAGTTATCTACAACAGCTTCTAAGTCAGTCTGGCTCTAGTTGGGCAGTGCAGAGTGTACTACCCTGGTTTTCTCGAACTACAGTGTTTTTCTTGTTTAGCAACATTTTTTTACTACTTATTTCCGCTATTGTTCGCCAATTTTCACTTGAAATTGAACCTGTCATAACAACTGACTGTAGTTATGTTCTATCTTTAGCAGTAGTCACAGCTGGAACACAGTCACCCTTATCCTCATAAGAGATGATTTGTTTTGTTTGTCTGTTCGAAAACGTAAACCTTATATACCTGGTATGTTAATTTAATTGCAATAAAGTGATCCTCTTAATTAATTTCCTCCATTTACTGGGCGCCCAACGAAGATAGTTGCGTACAGTCGTGAGCACAGCTGTTTACACTGTGACGTCATTACACTTCAACGACCAGAATCCTTCAGTTGGAAATTTTTCTCTCGCAAATTGCGGTAACTGCTTGACTGGGATTAAACAACTGACAACAGTAAAGAAAAGTCGACATTAGTTGGATGGTTGTACAAAGCAGTGTACTGTTTATGAAATACTAGTTTTCACCTTTAAACATGGGTTATTCCAAACGCGCAGAAGTTGTAGGTTGCCCTCATAGCGTCACATGTTTTGTCTGGAGCTAAAGTGACTCTTAGCCAGAGGTCTCTTGCACTTAATAAAACAAAACGTTTGGGTTCTGGCTAGCTTTTGACTTGTCTGGACAGTCTGTGAAAGCGTTTTGCGTTACACAACGAGGCTAACAATCCACATCATAACAGAACTCGGTCTTTATTCCGGAAATAAAAATGTTTTCAGTTGAGACAAACTGTTTACCGAAAATAATGTCGAGATCCATACCTTCCCTAACGGCCATGCTGTGGAACTCAAGATTCGTTCAGTTGGATCATGTATGGTAGGCGCAATTTAGCGATTAATGACTTCGCTGTTATCTTATATTTTCACCCAAGCTTAGAAAAGTGTCAGCAATACCTATACATCTGGTTGCTGACATAAATCGAAAGTTGTTTTGCAGGAGTTTGTTGTCTTCTATTCTCTTATAGACCCAGAGACTTACACAAATGAAAAGAAAAAGGAACTTGATGAAAATGGACCCCAACCAAGGTACTTCTCATACTTGCCAGCGTACTTGAATGAATAAATGAACGAATTCTTTATTTGTTATTGCAAAATATCACACTCAGTAGACGTGAGTTTTTGCAATCAAATCCTTAAAGAAAGCAAGATAGATACAATCCAAAATCTACGTAATTTAAAATCTACGATTTAAAATCTGTGTATAACAAAAAGATGAGAAAAGATACAAAGTTCGTCTATATATAACAATGAGATGAGATAAGACTTCATCGTCGTATTTGATTCCCAGGTATTCAAATGTGATGATGTATCACTATAACTGATGAACACAGTATTTCGCTCGTTTTGTTGTGGGCCGTACGTAAAATAGCTTTATTTGTACTCTTCCTGTAATTCATTCCCCTCTAGCGAGGTAACATATAGCAACTGAGCATCTTCCTATTCTTGAAGTGACTTTTGAGGGCAGACCGTTTGTCTGGTGCTTCACTTCATCTCTATTTTGTTTTGGACCATGTTTTTAGTTTCACTTATGCAAAGCTGTAATATTCATCAATTAATTCCAGCTCCGACAAAAGTAAACTTTGTTCAAAGCAGGCAGTAGTTTGTCGAAAAATATTAAGCCCCAACGGTGTACATTATATGGAGGATATTACACGGTGGCTCGAAGATATGAATTTTATGTTCGAGTGGCNGATGAAGTGGCGTATGGAATCTACGAGTGGTTTAGTTCCCAGTAAAACACTCTTCTCCATATAATAAGTACAAATATTGTTAAAGCGTGTTTGAAGGAGGGATATGCACTATATAATGGCCTGGTGATATAAGATCATATATCCATCCAGTTGTGGTTACTTGATTTTAGATTCTTAATGTAGATTCACTAGTGTCATAGTTTTATAGATCTATCTTTCTTTTCTATCTAGCGGCTAACAAAATATAACTAACATGTTGGTGGTTTTCATCGCTGTACAGCTTTCAAAGTTTCCGATGGTGCGTATTCAGTTAAAAAGAATCTATCGATTCATTCCTTTTCTTCAAGACTGCATTCCAAAGCTTTCTGTTCAGGCCATGGCTCCGGTTCCTTTGTTGTCAGCCATTTACCAAAGTTAATTTTTCCCACAGGGTTTCTCAAGTTAATGCTACATCAGAAATCAATCTGCATTTCTCCTTTCGTTTCTCCGTTGTTTTAATAAATAATAGAAACCGGGATAAGCTCCGGCCTGATGGGCCACTTGGCTCGTACGCCGACTTTACCTTACCTTTACCTTAATAAATCACTTTTATTATCCGTTATAGTGTAAATGCACCAGCGAGTGTTAAACAATACTTATTACTCGAGCTCTTTATCTTGATTCACGGTGCTAATTGAAGCACTGTAAAAGAGATTGAATGAGATTGTGACCGTTAAGATGAATTGAATACCAACTTGAACACAAACTGAGAATAAAGGCAATTTTATTATTTAGTAAAGTATATTATTACATGGATCGTATGAACTAGACTCTAATTTCTTTGTTGATGCCAAATAAAAAAGTGATTATTCTTTTCAATGTCTCTTTTCCCAACAAACAGACCTGGCAATGTTTTTTGCTGATACAGTTTTATTTATAGTAAAATTAATTAAGAATATGACAGACTAATAAAAGGGATAAGGAAAAACATCATGAAACAAAGACACACAGACAATTTTACTTTAAACTGAGAACGTCTTAGAAATTCAATAAATCACTGGAGCACAACACATTGCTTTAGAGCGCTCTGTCTTGTTTTCTACAATCTGTACCTGGCTAAATTCGGTGATGTAACACTTTGTCCTCATAGTAGGTAAACATACCAAGTGTATCTACAAAGCTAAGTCTAGTTATGGTTCATATTCGAAATATGGCTTAAAACTGATGATTTCCGCCCAAACCCACCAAAAGGCGTTGATCTCACGAATGTGGTCACTCTATCAACAGCTTGATGTCCCGCATCCTTTTTGCTGGTGAGTGGGAAGTTATTTCACAAGTTAGAGCGTCACGTTTTTGCCAAATCCAATTTGAAGTTTTGGCAAGTCCAGTTTGTTTATACTTCACATATTACTCAGCAAATTTAAAGATCTTTCAAGTGCTGGAATGTACGAAAGAGCGTTGATCATGTAAACTCGCACGCCTAACTAATCAGCACGAAATTCTTTCCTACAAATTGTACTCGAACTTATTTACTTATTAGTAGGTAAACGTCAGCATAATTTTATCAATAAGTCGTTGCCAGAGCTATGACTTTTACCCACTGAAGCAATAATTACAGGTAAATAAGTAGTATATTAACCACTGAAACCGTACTTCGACGAGAGCGGATGCAAGGACATGTTCGAATAAACAACTTGAAGGTTTGATGAAGGACGAAAACTGGGTACAACATTATAAAAGTGTGGCAATGGATGCAGTTGAGTGCTAATCTCGCCGGCACAGCAAGGAAAACCAGTCTGGAAGTGACCAAACATAGTGTTCATTTCTTCCCACCGTAAGCTTGCTTCAAAGTCCGGCGCCATTTGTTTTTTCCACTTTGTTCGCCGATTCTGAAACCATGTTTTCACTTGAGTGTCCGTGAGATTAAGGCCCTTTGCCAAACTGTTTCTTTCCGTAATTGTTAAATATTTCTTGTCGTGAAACTTTTCCTCCAAAGACTTTAACTGGCTGCTGGTGAACGCAGTCCGTCTTCTTCGAATCTTGTTGATGTAGAGATTTTCTTGACCCGAGGATCCTGTTTCATCGTCTTCGCTGAGACATTCGGTCACTGACTTCTCTCGCTCTTCTTTCTCCAATGCGCAGATTTCTTTCTTATCTAAAACAAAGAAGCAATTTCCCAGATTTGACGTTAATTGTTTCATTGAGATTCGTTATGAATTATAAGGACTTTGCAAACGAAGATTCATACCTTTCCGGCCTGACTCGTCCTCTCTTGTCGCGTACTGAAGCAAGGGACTCGAGTCTTCATGTTTTGGCTCAGAATTTCCCAATATTGCATCAATGCTAAACGAAGCCATCGACTTGTGATGTTCAGAAGGAGAAGAATGTTAATGATAATAACTTCCCCAGGAGAGTAATAAAATCAACAACCATTCGTACCTGCTAAATATTGTAATACCAACATCCGGACACCATTAATCTCTTTGACAGCCAATTAAGGTTTGTCTGATAACCTTCGCATGTTTCCACTTAAGGAAACAAAGAGCCGGTAAATGTTTAGAGCTAACTGTAAACAGAGAGATATAACTGTTCAATTTGACGGATACCTAATTATATCATCAAATATTTGACTGGGCAAATAAGAGATTATGAAATACGGCGGTGTCCGGTTATTTTGATCACCTGACTCCCGACTGTTTTCTTTTGAATCCTTTTGTCATTGCCCCTTTCCAGAAATATATGTATTAGATAAAACGTTTTCGTTTTAAAAAGGTAAGATTGGAATGCTTGCGTGAGGACCAAACTTAGAGTTATTAGGAGTCTCCTGAAACTTGGTATTAGTTCAAGAAATGTCAAGCTTATTACAGCCGACAATTGCCTAATTATCGTATTTCCTGTCCTAGTGTAGCTAGCTATGTTTCAGACAAAGCTAAGAACAAATAGTACAAAATTCTTGAAATACTACCTTGATCATTTATTTTCTACTCAAATAAGACGTAACTTGATGGTGAAGTTTTTAACCTGTACAGACGGCATGTTCATCCACTTGACACAAACTGTTTTATTAGAATTCAAACCTTTTAGATGATGAATGATTTGAGTTTACAGTGTGAAAATTCCCCCACGAAGAGTTAATTTACAGATGTCCTTATAATGATTAAATATCCAAATTAACTTGCACACGCAGTCCGCGCTTGACATTTTTGTGGTCATTGCAAAATCAAGCAGGTTTTTTGTCTTACAACTGGATGTTATATTTCAATTTTTTCATTATTATTTTTCCTTGAAAGCATGTGAAATATCAGCATCACTGTTATCAAATGTCATTAATTAAGGGCAACCGAGACTTGATATAATCCACAGACTAATACAATGCAAAACAATAACAATAACACATACTCGTGTAAAATAAATTAGCACGGATATAAAAGGCTTTATATGGTTCTATATGAATAGATCCGTGATAGGAAGTGAGAGGAGTTTTCTGTTCCCAACAAGGTGTGCTGACCAGCACTTCTGAAACCAACAAAAGTGAAAAACGAATAAAATTACTTTCGCGTGCAGTTTTGATAAAGCTGCGACAGAAACAGTATTATCTTTCTGACAAAGTAATCCATTCTAACAGTAATCCTAACTTCCTGATCTTTAGTTTTATTGGATCAGGCGCTACCCCGTTCAAGGCTGCCATATACGCTACTGATCTCCATGTTGTCTGCTCATGTAAATCTTTTCTCGGCGGCGCTGGTGTACGGGCAGTCATAAGCCAGTGACACCTGCTTAATACAAGGTCGGTGAGCATGAGTCGCTTTTATAATCTTGTTGTAAGCAGTTTGTCATATGTCTAATCTCGAGCATTTGTTTACAAACGTTTACTGCTCTTAAGTAAGTGGTTTTGCTGATCAGTAATTTAGATAATTAAAGCCGTTCGACCCGCACTGGGAAACGATGGGCATTAGACAGACCCGAAATCCGGCTTTACAGAGAACTACTGGGGTGTCTTTACGCGGCAATTAAACAGGAGCCACATACCAAGATGGCCGGCGTTTGAAGCCGCGTGTCTATCGGGATTTCTAGAAAGAGTCTTCAAATTGTCACTGATCCGGCTTCTTCATCCAATTGGTTCCTGTTCGAGTTTGACGCCATTCTAGAAATATATGGGAAAGAGCAGGACCCGGATGTTGGGTTCGGCCTCGGTTGCATCGAATAATGCATGGAAGGATTTATTTAACTCGGAATTGAACTTTGATTTACATTACTCTCATACTGGTGCTAGTGTTTTTGCTATTTGTACTTCCAGCAGCTCATCACAGTTTCCTTGTCTCCGTCTTTAACGCGAGAATACATTCTCGACATAAGGAGAACTGTTCACATTTTTGTTGGGGAAAGATTGCTATTATTTGCTGTCTCATCAAAATTTATTATTTATTAGCTTTGCATTTTCCGAATCTTTGATCGACATTTCACGATGCTGGAATACTTTGCGTCTTCAGCTGTCGGTTTCAGTCAAGAGTCTTCACAGTAGGCTAGGAAAAGTGCACGATTCCTTAAGGGCACCCGCTCTTCCTGTACTAAGTCAGATTACGATAAGTATTTTACCCGGCAGTAAGACAAGTCTTGTAGTCATCCGGATCTGTCAAGAGTTACTGGCATTACTATTCATTAGATTCTTAAAATATTAATGTCAAATGAAAAATAGCGATTGTATTATGTTAATCCCAGAGGAAACAACAATGAACCTCGACAGGCTACCTAACTGTGCTCAAAATTGATTACAGCACTGAAAGAAACGAGATCAAACACCTTCAAGCTAAGATGATGAGAGTTCCATTTTATTTCATAATTTATCTGCATATTACGATCTTACACCTGCACTGCTTTTTTATGAATCAGCCATAATTAATTTTCATGTCATAAGTAATTTATCAAAATGAGAACAAAAAAACAAGCAGTGAGGAGAAAATGAATCAGTAAATAAAATCCCTGCTGTGTTACAGTTTTTTTTTCGGCATCTTCTGCATCAAAAATAGTTATTCTATTTGGTTGCTAAATTATTATATATTGATACTGTTCGCAGATCGAGTTTTTTGAATGCTGCGGCCTGAGTTAATATTGAGTCATTCAATGTATGGGTTTCTTCATATGACCAGATTATGGAAAGAAAATCACACAAGCCATCTGCCCGTCGCCGCATCAACAGATTGTGTCAAGTTATCAACTCATCAGTTAAAACCGGAATGGCTTGAAATGTTGAGCGTAGCTATTAGCACTCGCACCTTTTAATAACAGTTTATTGTCTTGCTTTTCAGTCGTTTGGAGAAATTGAAAAAGTTCCCAAAAAATCAGTTTGTGCTTTGTCATGTAAATGACTCGAAAAAGATGCTACAAATTGAGCTTGTGTTTTTACATAATCATTCTAGAGAATGAGTTAGTCGTCAGCACCGTGCTGAAAGGAACTTGAATTTATGTTCCCCGCTTTTATTGTGAAGCGAGTCTTATTGACTGATAATTCTACTTGTGGTTGGGAAACCAAACAAGAACAAAAGTCCCATCAGTCGACATCATCAGCACGGTAAAACTTGAAATATGAAATCTACAGTGGACATTGTTCTTCTGCCTTTTTACATTCTTATTGTTATGGCTGGGGTCTTGGGAAATGCTCTATTCATCATCGTGGTAAGGAAACATCGTTCCATGTACACAACTACTAACTTTCTGCTGACAAACGTTGCTGTCTCCGATATTATTTCTCTGGTGTTTTGGGTGCCGGGTATGGTTCTCCGTTTCTTTGAACACCCAAGTGGAAGCCTTGGTAGCTTTCTCTGCAAGTTTGTAACCATGCATCATATTGCCGGGATCTCTTTGCTGGTTTCAGGTTTGACACTCACGCTTATTTCAGCTGAAAGGTACAACGCTCTTCTTCAACCCGTGCATTTGCATTTGAAACTAGAAAAGCAGCGTGTTATCATTGCCATTTGCCTTATTTGGGGATTTGCCATCGCCTTTGTTTTGCCGTTGTTTATTGAACAAAATTATGTGGATGAGGTCCAGGCTTGTCACATGGATTGGAAAAGCAATGCGTCTCGGGTATATTGGGCACTTTTAGCAACAATAGTTGGTATTTCACTTTCTATAATGACTTTCTGCTATTTTCAAATTGTGAAAGCTCTTTATTTCGAGAACATACTCCCACCTAACTGCAGCAGCTCAGAGCAGGATATTAAGGACAAACAAAAGATCATAACAATTTTAATAACAGTTACAGTTCTGTTCTTTGTATGCTTTCTTCCTTTCATAATCGTCTCAGCAATCAATATCTCAACCAAAAGCATACCGTACAAATTGTCATATTTTCTTGTTTACACTAGCTGTTGTGTAAATCCAGTTGTCTGCATATTTCAAAGTGCAAAGTACAGAGCTGGTTTGAAAGATCTGTGGAAGGGAAGGCCTGCTCAGAGACGACAAAGGTCTTTAGAGTCGTAAGTCTCCACTTTGTCGCATTAAACGCGATATAAATGGCTAGAAATGGCTTTTACGTCGTTTACCTGACAAGATTATTTACAGCCCATATCCGTAGCTATGCCAACGGTAGACCTTAAGTGTCACTTTAACGGCCGATGTTGGTGGTTATATGAATATAATCTGGTGTGCTGTTGTTTAACTAAGAGTTGTATGAATGCATGTCAGATATAGGGCCGCTGGTTTGCTCTAAGTCGATTTTAGGTTATTAAGTGTAAACATCTTACTTACATATTCAAAGAATTTCAGTTAATTGTAAAGGAAATCGTTGTTGAACTGATGAGTGAGACATCCATAGAAGTATGTTCGAATTGCCAAAAAAAAAAAAATTCAGAGCAAAATGGAAATTTGTGACAGAACATATGGCTATTGTCGTACACGGTGTGCATCGAGTGGCACACGTTCAAATCGATCGTGTTCCTGAAGATTTCAGTTGATTTTATTCAGTTGCGTATGTTTGCTCTATTTAGATAAATTAGCTGTCATGTGACTTAGGTTTTAACAGGCACTCAAAATGACAATTTTATTTATTCGCTAAAATGAAAACACAGAATGATTAAAAATAATTGAATAAACTGTTTAAATACGTGGGGTCTCAAACTTTTTCAGAAGATTAAAAGACTTTTCATAATATAACGGGAATCTGGTTGTTATCTCTAAGTGACAAAGTTCGCGTTCTTTACTACTGAATGACTGAAAAGTCACGGATTTCTCGCCAAGTTTCACAAACTTTAAGGTTCTTAATACGATTTAGCATTGATAATTGACTAAGACTGGACAAGGTAAGGTCCGAGCGTTTCTTAATTTGCTGGTGCAAAACTGTAAAAAAAAACGAACTTTAAGACAACTAATAATTGATATTGGAGAATGAAAAGTGAAAGAAAGTAAAAGGGGGCAAATAGCAAAAATAACGCGGGTGCAGATTTCGCAGTTTGCTCAACTTCTTCAATTTCTTCTTGAGTCAAAACTTGATATGTTAGTAAATGGCACCAAACAGGTATTATTTGATCTCTTATTCTTAATTTTCATCCTTAGCTTTACGACGCGCCCCTTTGAGCTGATTTGGTGCTTAAATTCATAATGTCTACTGGCAGACATTTTCTTAATTTTCAAAAGTAACTTTCAAAATGCGTCAATTTGATTAGTGAATGGTGTTCTCAAACCTTGTAAAATGTAATAGTAATCGTGCATCGTTTACACCTAAATCAACGATAAAAAGTGGTTTAGAAACTGGCCACCAGTAAATCGATATACAAAGCTTGAACATTCTTTCTCAGTGTTAGCTTGGCAAGAAAATAATACCACATGAGGTAAAGAAAACATATTTGACCTCGGTGGGATTTGAATTAACGACCTCCGGAATTTTCCGTTTTTCCACCGACTGATGCCAAAGGACACGTTGCGAGTAGAATAGATGCGACAACAAAGGAACAAGGGAAACGGAAGGAAAGACAGGGTTACCATTGTACTTGGGTTATTTCTACACAGTTTTTGGTATGAGATAGGAAGCAATCCTAGGTAGACAGCCGGTCTACAGACCTACAACAGTAGACCTGTTTGGCGGGGTCCTTTTAGTCTTTCAAATTTTTAAGTGCTGACGTGGATGCTCAGGCCCAGATCTCCGGGTGCTCCCTTACGATTTGTTACCCCTGACAATGATAAATCAAAGCATGCCCTTGATACAATTTCTATTAAAGCAACTTATACTTGAAGAATTAGCAAGGAATTAGTCTAAAATTTGATAACAGGAAGAGGCCTAGCCAAATGAATTGCTCAATCAATAAAGGTGACGGTTGTGAAAGAACTTCCCAGGGAACTGACTAATCGCGGTTCTCGATTATGTAGAGGGCACAATGCTGAAGAAACTGCCGTAGCGTTGCTCCCAGGGTTGACTGAATCAAAAATGAATCGATTACATTTTGGCCGTAACAAAATTTACTGCGAGACGCTCTCATTTTGCGCCATGCTTAGATCTGAAAGGTATGCTAGGGTATTTTGTATCGCCAAAATTACGGCACAAGCTGCACGAAACATTTCCTAGTGTGAATGCATCCTACTATTGCACTGGTCAGCAACCATCACGACAAAAATAGGAAACAATGAATGTGAAAAAAGCGCATGATATGAGACAAGAATGAAGTTTATTTACACCACTGCATTGATTTATTTTGTAATTATACTGGGAAAATTTATAAAACCACTAAAAATGAGATTGGACGCCAGAACTGAAATCTTATAGGAGACAATCCACTGCGAATGTAAAAGGAATGAATGTTAAAGGTAATCACTGCGTGAATATACCAAGAAGAAATAATTATCAATCCCTTTCTCCTGGTGTATATGATTCTCGGTTGTTCTCAGAGACAACTGTCATTTCTATTTGATCCTCGTCGTGACGGTCTAAGCAGACGCTGCTACACCTTCTAATTTCCAATTTAAAGTGGCTCGACCTCTTGGTTCTCTCGCTGGCGGGCAAAAGACCAACATTCGACAGCATCCCGGCAAAGAAAACAACCAGACCCACTTAGGAATGTGAAAAGAGTTCAGCCAAATTTGTTTTTTATTATTATTTTACTCAAATCAAGAGTATTTTGTCGCTATTTGTAGATATAAGCTATCAATGACAAAAAGGGGGAGACGCTACCTCGCCTAGAGATCCAGATTGGAGTTCAGGATTCTTCATGCAACATTGCCGTTACTTCCACGAGCCAGGCACACTACAAACCATTCATTGAATTCATTTATTTCTTCATTTACATTGACAGAATAAAAAAACTAAATACATATTATTATTATTATTATTATTATTATTATTATTATTATTTATGCAATAAATAAGTATTAGGTAGGTTTAATTCATGGAAGTATTCCTATTTGCAATGACGACAATTTATGTATGAGTCGTAGTTGATGAAAAAGTAAGAGTGAATGAAATCGATTTTCTCAGTAAAATATTGCGCTAGGTTACATCAATCGCTCATCAGCTATATATAGTATAATAACTAGCAATAAAGACGGAGTGTGTAGTAAATCGAGAAGATATAGATAAACATAGATCGACACAACTAACAAAACTGAAGTTTCATGACGAAATCAGTGGTGACTTTTGTGAGATTCATTCTTTACAAGTGTATGTTACTGTTCTTGAAATATACAATCTTTAGTTAGTGAGGTTGTAATGTTGTCAACATGTTTACATACATTCTTACCCGAGTGTTAAGCTTCATGGTCCAATTATCAAAGCGTCCCAAAACATGCTCAGACTGAGTTCGTAAGGCTTACGCTAAATATGGTAAATATTCAGTAAAATCTATATATTGTTGATGAATAATATGGCGAAAAATCTTAGAAATGGATCCGTAAAGTTTAACTATTCCGCTTAAATCCTCGATTGTGAGAATAGTTCTTTGCAATGGTCAGTTAAATTTTAATCTTACGTTGTGGGCACAAAGCTCATTCAAGAAAATGGTACTCAAGGAAAAAGAATTAATTAAACCACGAATTTGCGAATTTGGCTCCAACAATCGTGCATCCTGTTATAAACAAATTGAGCATTCTTTGATCTTCCTGGGTGGGGTTTTTTTGTCTGTCATTAAAAATTCGTGACGCTATCCTGGGCGGAATATATCCTAACTCTATCCATGTGTTGCCATAAAGTAAATATTCCAAATTAACCTAATACTCGGGGTTTATCCAGGCAGTCTAGTCAACATTCCGATTTCTGTATTTATTAAGTTTGACTTCCATTATACGTAGTTTTCTTTACTTTGTAGCATGAATAAATATGTATTTATTGTTCGCTAATCGTTGTCGCGATTCAGCTTGAATCTGTTGAATAAGCCCCAAACTGTCTAGACAAATATGCCCAAATTCACGAATAGTTTGCCAAGAAACAATCTCCGAGTCCCAGTATCATCTGCTATCATTAGTGTGACATTACCTTAGGATTTTCCAAATATTGACACCGAAGTGACAAAAGTATAGAATTCAACCACTGAAGCCACAGGTTGCCGAAAATGGTTGTAAGTTTGCGTAAACAACTTGGAGGTTTGACGAAGGATACAAGCTCCGTACCATTTTATAGTTTTGTATCTGTAAAACAGGGTGAAGATGAGTTGTTAGTTCTCGTCCGCAGCAAGGAACACCCGTCTGGATGTGACTAAACACAGCGCTCATTTCCTCCAACCGCAAGTTCGCTTCAAAGTCGGGCGCCGTTTGTTTTTTCCATTTTGTCCGCCGGTTCTGAAACCATGTTTTAATTTGAGTGTCAGAAAGGCGAAGGCTCTTGGCCAAGTTGTTTCTTTCAGTGATTGTTAAATATTTCTTATCATGAAACATTTCTTCCAGAGACTGTAACTGAGTGCTTGTGAAAGCGGTTCGCCTCCTGCGAGTCTTGTTGAAGTGAATATCATCACGGCTTGTTGAGCAGCCACTTCTGTCTACTTTTCCATGAACGAACTCCACTTTTTCTACGTTTACAGGAAAAAAAAAAAAGAAATTCGATTAACAATGTTAAAATGACTTTGGAAGACTTCTAAAACACCATTTTGATGGCGTTAAGATAAAACAACAAACAAACAATACAATCGTTTCCTTTGCCAGAAATGGATGGCGTGCCACGAACCTGTCTCCAAAGTGTCTGCTTGTGACTCATCAGGCACACTGTGTTTACCAGAAGGTGTTGTGTTGTCTTGTTTTGGAGCCGAGTTTCCCAAGATTGCGCTTATAGTAAACGATGCCATGAAGCTGTGATCTGCAGAAGGAAAGTGAATTGAGACGTCCTCATGACAGGCCTAGCTGCTAAATGTTATGATGCTTGCATCCGGACTCTATTAATCGCTTTGACAGCCAATTAAGGTAATATTTAAATGACCGCAGGACGCTCCACTTCAAGGACAAAAGAGCGGTAAACGTTTGAAACTTTATATCAAGGAAAGGATAAGGGTTTTGTCACTTTTGGCAAAATGTTAATTAGATCATGAAATTTTTGACTGGCTTTAAGCACTGCATGCTATGCCAAATACATAGAAAGGCGATCATTGAGCTAAAAATATCTCGTGGAGCAAAATTCTTTGCAATCCTTATCATTTAACGGCAACCGTGTAATCCAGCTTCCAAAAAGTTACTGAAGTACAAGAGCCTTGTACTTCAATCAGTCAGAACAGTTCCCTGAAAATGTTATAATGAGTTTGACGTTTTGTGTGAATTCATTTTGTTTTCCAAATTTAAACTTCGAAGTCTTGGCAATAAAGAGAGTTTCAATGTGAATTAGTTCGATGTCGTGTAAAGCCGCTGGTAAAAATCAGTCAATGTGACGATTGCTTTTTGGTTTATCATTTACTGAAGAGTTATTGAAGTGTTCCTGTATTGATTGGATTAACTAATTCAAACGTTTCACAAGCCTCCCGAAGGAGGGGCGCACTCCCCAAAGTTTTTGGTGGGGGTGTAGGGCCCAAACCTTGAAACCTGTCCCTAGTACCCTATTTCAGTCCAAAATTTGTGATTTTCCATAATCTATCTCAGACCCGAGCGAAAAATCGATACTCCATTTCAGACCTCTAGGATTAGTACACGGCTCTAATACATGCATGACCGCAGCTAACCAGAATTGGCTTCCATTTGCCTAAACATTTGAGAAGGTCTACAAATTTACCCATGTTGATGCGGAAAAAATAGTTCCTTGTAAACAAAATACTCAGTGCCAACCAGAGTAAAAAATATAACCTATTACAGACCAAAATAGTTAAATCGAAATCTCCACCCCTTTTCAGATCAAAATCGTTAAAAAGCCATATCGTTGGGGCGGCACATACCATATGAATGGTTTTATTTACATTAATGTTTTATAAGTCATCCATCGCGTATTTTTAATATGAATGTAATTAGTCATTTTGAATTTATTCCATTCCCATTTTCCTCGATGTAAATTAATTCTGAAAAACTCATTTGGGAGAATTAATAAAATGTCTTGTAAATATTGTAATATCGCCGATATAAGGGAGTACATCCCCCCCCCGCCGGGCGCAAGGCCCACGCCACGTTTCGCAATTGTTTCCATTTAAAAAGCACGCTTTCGTTTATAATGAGCAGAAGGAAGTTTCTGGAAATCATCTACCACACAGAACTGTTGAAATATTTCCAGCTTACTGCACCGACCTTTCCCTGCAAAGGGTTAATTTCAAGAAGTAGTAATATACAGACGTGGCAAACAAGCCTGAAATATCGTGAGGGCAGGTTACAACGCCAAGACACATCAAAAATAACTTTCCTCTCTCGTATTAAAACGACCAATAAGAAAATTAAAGTTTTAACATACATGCTTAGCGCTAAGTGAGTCAATATTCGCGGACAAAAAAAATGTATTAACCTGAAGCAAATACAGCAATTCTAGCTTGCCCAAAAAATAAAAGAAACATCTGGTCAAATGTGAATTACCCAATTTACTCGATTCCCGAGTCCGTTGTGTGAGTCAAATATATATTTTTAATAGAGCAATTTCACGTCGCGTGCCGTTCGCCTTGGCTCGACACTAAGATTATTCTTAACCTCCTAGTACTCTGTTTTATTATATAGATTATCCCCATTATCCGAATTTCCTGAAGTCAACATAAATTCATAACATTCATTGTTTTTTTTTCTTCCAAGCAGTTTTCTAGAATACGTGGAGCGAGTGGGATGTCAGCACGTTTTCTCAGCATAGTCGGTTTCCGCAAAAGACATTTGTTAATCTCCTAAGCTGTTGAAAAGTGCCTGGATATTCAGCTTGAGTATTTGTTTACAATAGTTGGTTACTCTGATCAAGTGGTTTTATCAAAAGGTTATTAGAGCATTTAACGGTGGAAAACGATAGTTATTAGTCTGGTAATCATCAGCTGCGGAGCAAGGAGCTGTGCGTCAAATCAGAGGACCCAAAGGTACCGTGGGCGTCCACTGCCAGC